ATTATTGAGAAATAAGTTGTACATAACCTACCAAAAAAGCATGTCCAGTGCAAAGGACATTGGGCCTTGAAAGATGCATGTGAAAAAATGTATGTGTTCGTGGCAGTGGACATTGGGTTTTGAACATTTTTCTTTTTTGTAGACAAATATGATCCTGAAAATCCAAAAGACGCCGAGGAACTGTTGGAATTTTTGTATGATGATGAATTGGATGAAGAGTGCGAGAAAATGTTGAGAAATCTTGGGGAAACTTCAGATATAGACTTTTTCTCCGATAATGATAGTGACGAAGACATTCAGAGTAGGAGCTGATAAATTATCGTTCGAAGATGAAAAGCTACAGAATAAACAATTGGCAGAGGAAGAGCATGCAACCGAATCCTCAGAAGTAATTGACAGTGACACAGAGGATGATATTCCTCTATCAATTATTGCAGAAACATTGAGAGCTGAGGTAAGCAATTCGCGTTCGGAGGAAAATAAAATACCCGACTGTTATAAAGANCTTTGAAGGGCCGTAACTTTTTAAATAAGGGAGAGCGCCGCTTTTTTCTTTCGGATTCGTAATCTACGCATCAAAATACGTAATTACAGTCAAACATTTTTTCAAAATCGCCGGGTGTCCACATAACGAAAATTTACCGATCATAGTTTTCTGGAACATCGTAAGCCTCCGAAATCATAGAGTAAGCATCGAAATAATTCGTTTCTGAGAGTTTTGATCCGTCTCTCAATCCTACAAACAGATATATCACTTGACTCTCTCAGCTCTTCCGTACTACATTTTGCTTCAGTATCAGTGATATCTTCCTTTTTAAATTCAATTTCTGTTTGCTGATCGACAACTTCATATTCTGGTTGACTTTTCAGATGACAGATTTCAATTTTTTCATTTGAAAAAATGACATCTCTACTCGAGATAACGTCATTCTTTTCTGGTACCCAGATTTGATAACCATCCTTATTACCAATATATCCCACTAAAGATCCTTTCATGCTTTGCGTTGCAAATTTTCTTCTCTCTTCCTTGGGTATGTGGATAAAAAAATCAGTCTCAAAGACCTTGAGATGTTCTACATAACTGTCTTTTCCTGTCCACAACTCAATCGAGGATTTTCCATCAAAGGAGTTAGGTCCACTTCTGTTCAATATATACACAACTGTATTGACTGATTGTTTCCACAGCTCCTCTGGAAGATTCTTAGCATGTATCATGGTTATGTCAAATTCCACTATTGTGTGATTTTCACGTTCTGCAACTCCATTTTGCTCTGGTGTATATGGCATAGCAATCCTATGATGAATACTAGCTTTGCCCAACAATTCTTTCACGTCATGGTTATTAAATTTTAGTCCATCATCAGTAAAAATTTCTTGTACAGTGTGTTCCGGCTTCTGCTAGAAAAATTTTTATCTTGAACTTCACTTCGGACGTTTCCCTCAAAAAATAGACTGCTCTGTATTTGGAGAAATCATCCTTGAATAACACATGATAACGGGCACCTCCAAGAGACGTTACGGGACAACATTCATCAGCATGTATCACTTGACCTACTTTGTGGGGACTTTCATTACGTTTTTCGAAGCTCAGTCTATATTGTTTACCAAACATACGAGCTTCACAGAATTCACTGTCGACTTCTACATGAATTCCACGTTTTTTTCAAAAACTTCTGAACACATATCTTGTTTTGGTGGCTCAGACGTTCATGCCACAATTGGAGTTCATCATTAACAGATATGTGCCTCAACTTCAGGTAAAACAACACGCTTATTCATATAGCAAAGACCATTTTGTCTTTCTGCAAATGCCACTTTGGCATTATTTTCAAAAATACTGCAACCATATTCGTTGGAAGACAAAGCCATCCCCTTATCGAGCGCAGAAGAAATAGAAAACAAATTTCTTCCCACCTCTGGTTAGTCACAACTTCATTAAAAAATATCCTTCCTGTTTTGATAATGAAATGATCAACGATATTGAAAAAAATAAAAAAATTAAAACAAAACTGAAAACTACAGACTCAGATATTCTCAAAGAAAAATTCCGATCTCTTTGTCGATCCATCAAAACAAAAATCAATTTAGCATACAGAGAATATGAAAATAAATCTGAAAGGGCAATCAAAGAAGATCCTACCAATTTCTAGTCGTACATTCAAAATAAAAAAGGTACATCAAGAATTCCTAGTATTCTATTCTAGGACGACGTTGAATAAAACAATGCCTCGGAAATCGTTGATGCATTCGCACAATTTTTTGAAAGTGCACATTATCCACTCACTCCTACAATCATATGAACACACGAATGTTACCTTAAACAATCCTATCATTTCTTTAAAACATTTTTCACTAATTGAAATCTGTAATTCTCTCAACAAACTAAAACCAAAACTCACAAGCGGGGATGATAACATACCTAGCTTTTCCGTTAAAGATTGTGCACACCTCCTAGCCATACCATTACAGTCAATCTTTAATCTAGCACTGAGTACATGATGCTTTCCTAACAAATGGAAAATATCAAAAATTTGCTCAATTTTCAAAGCTGGTGCCATAAACAATATCCAAATCTACCGACCTAACCGAACTAACCTTGTTATCAAACTTTGCAAAGGCTTTTGAGATGTGCTTGTACAACAGATGTCAAGAATTTAATTTCAAACAATCAATACGGTTTTTTCAACAGAAGATCAATAATAACTAACTCAATGTTCTTCACACAATCAGTAAGTGATGCACTCAATAATAACCTACAAGTAGATACTGTCTACACAGATTTCTGAAAGGCGTTTGACAAGTTGGATCATAACATTCTTATCAATAAACTTCACCAATATGGATTCGACTTCCAACTCTTAAACCTTTTCCCCTCATACTCAACTGAACGTATCCTTTTCTTAGATTATGGGGGTCACAAGTCGTTCCAATTTATTGCAAACAGTGGTGCCCCTCAAGAAAGCAATTTCGCACCTCTTTTCTTCTCACTCTTCATTAAAGACATAGAAAATAATCTCTCTAGCAATTTCTTACTTTTTGCAGATGATTTGGAAATCTTTCGGCCCATTACATCACAGGAGGACTGCTCAATCTTACAAAAAGACCTTGACTTTTTGTACAATTTGTGTACCGAAAATAATCTTCTCAATACAAACAAATGTAAATACTTAAAATACACCCTTGAACATAATGTTATTTCTCATGATTACTGCATAAATAACACACCCCTTCAAATAAGCACTCATCAAAGGGATCTTGGTGTCACATTTGACCCTAAACTGAGTTTCTCCATCCACTATGACACAATAACATGCTCAGCCAAACGGATGCTAGGACTCATTTATCGTAACTGTAAAAACTTTCGTAGCAGAGAAGGCAGTTTTTTAACTCTTTTCAATGCATACGTCAAATCTCGGCTGGAATATGCCTCCCTTATATGGTCACCCATATACAATGTCCACATAAACAAAATCGAGTCTATGCAAAGAGGCTTCGTGAAATATATTACTTACAAGCTAGAAGGATTTTACCCTGAACAAGGCATCGACAACAGAATAAATTTAATCTATTATCCCTTCAAAACCGAAGAACCTACTAGGTACTCTATAATTTTCATTCATAAACTAGTGAATAATCTGATTGACTGTCCCGAACTATCTCCCACTTCAACTTTCATGTTCCACGAATCAATTCTAGAAATGAACTGACTTTTTATCAACCAAATTCTAGAACAAAAATATTACTCAAGTCACCAGTTGTTGCAATGAGCAAACTTTACAATCAACTCTGAAAATCTCGACATTTATTATGAATCTATTGGTCAAGTTGAGAACCACGTAAAGAAACTTTTACACTCTGGTCAAAATACATGAGCCCAAATTGAAAGTTATTCTACCATGTGAGCTTATAAAAACAGATTTTTTTTATTTTTTTTAAACAGATTTTATTTTTTGTTTACTCGCTTCAGGTGTTTCTAGTTGATAAATTAGTATTGTATTCATGTATATGTGCATGTATGTATGTATATATGTATGTGTATTGTGTGTATATAGGCGGATATAAACTGTAACATGCTTGTTAATAATATTAATATGTCTTGTTATTGGGATTTATTCCTGTTTAGACATTAAACATTTTTTCTTTCAATAGTTTGAACCGAAACACAAATCCTCGTAATTTTTGAGTTATATATAATACGTGTGAATCCGATTTCATGTGTCGATCGATCATTAGGCCAAGGTATTTAATTCAGGTACTTTTTGGATCAATGAGTTTTGATTGATAATTAATGGACCTATGTTCAGTAGTTTGTTGGCATAAGAAGTAAATGGTGGATATTGTTTAAGGTTAATTTGTTATATTGAAACAATTTCATGATGCACGGAAGGTATGAGCAACATTTTCAATGTTATGTTGTTTAAAAAAGTATGTTCAAGATAGTTTTTTTCCGTGATCAAGCTATCGCATCCCTACGAACAACAACCCTCAGAAATTGCTAGAGGTCATTTCGAATCGGATGAGCCCTGTATTATAATTTTCGGTACCCTTGAACAGAAGTTCTAAAAAAAAAATCTTGTGACCCAGTCTAATGTATTGACTCATCTAATCGCTTTTTTGAGTTCATTTTGATGGATCAATAAAAAAATCAGTAGTCATCATATCTACTGAAAAAATATTTAGAGAATTTTTGTTTGAAGGTGATTGACAATGTTTCGTGATGAATTTCACTAGTTCGGACTTCCATTGTCTACTATATAAAATGATTTGAAATCCCTGAAACAAGTAAAAAAGAATAATTAAAAAAGGATTGTTGAAAATAACAATTATATTAAGCAACAATTCATAGAGAATTTTTGATGATTGCCATACTGGTAGCCAATCTCAATATTATTGAAATATATATTTCAAAGTCATGAAAAATTATGAAAATTATGTTTCTGAGAATTCATGTTGTTCAGTTTTTTGAGTACTGAGATGTGAATCTGATTATTTATTTCCAGAAAATGTACGACATTTCGCGAGAAAAAATTTGAGCTGAGGAATTCCGTACTGACTGATTTACCCGGTGACACTGAATCCCATTATCATTGTTATTTTGGAACATGCCTTCTACTTCTGTTTGGTACAGTGATCTACGATTTCCTGTGTTTCAACCAGTAAGTATATTATTTAAAAAAATATAGGTCCACAAAGGATTAATTCATCTGAAAATATTGATGAAAGTCTTCCTTTTATCAGAGAGTCAGAGAGTAACGATTTTTGTAAGATTCTCAGTGTTTCAGTGAAAATATCGCAGTCATAGATATGGATTTCAATCAATTATATCGGTCAATCATATCACATATGAACAAGGTTAACAGTAATTTAATTCAAGGCGTTATTCATTATCATTTGTCAGAAGAAATCAGAAGAAAATGGTCATCTTTCATATAAGTTAATGAAAAATATAGAAACTTAATGACTTGTGTCAAAGCAACTTTTTGGTAGTTTTCTCATCAATATCTGATAAATATTAGTAATTCAGTATTTCTTCGAATGTTGTTTTCCTTGAAGCAGTTTCATGTCAAAAAATTATTTCTGCAGATACTTTGGAACCTGTTTCTGTTTAAAATCTGTTTTTTCAATGAAGTATTTTTAATGAGTGGTATGATGGGTGCTTCAATGATTTGATACCTCTTGATGATGTGTGCTTCCAATTTGATTTTCATCATAAGGGTCGATATCAAAATAACGTAGAATTTTTGTAACTTGATCTTTGTTGAATTGTTGCAGAAGTTCAACCATCTTTTTGTAGACAGTGTGAATGTTCTTTTTCGGGGTCACCAATTGTAGTTAGTAAATAACTACTAGTAACTTCTTCAATAGAAATATATCTGAGACGTTTTAACAACTATCTATATTAATTTCTGACAGATCAGTCCACAATCTCACACACATCATTTTTCAATTTTATTCCTCTCAAACACTTCATACTGGGCGTCAATAACTGTGATGATGTGATTCCACAATACTTTAACGAATCAGAAGCCGGCCCTGACCGGCATCAAGCCAGTCTTCAAGCATAGCCCACTGAGTAATAACAAAGTTTTTCTTCCTCATGCAGAGGAATCGGGCAAATTACGGATTTGCAGTTGGTTAATACCTCGTCCACTAGATGGAGTGATACTTTGTGATGTTCGCTTTAACTTCGGAAGAGGAATGAAATACTCTGAAAGAATTCCGATTTTCAATTGTGGAATATCATTGACTTCAGGTCGATGATGGTCACTATCTTGCACTGATGAGTGGCTAATAAGCCCGAAACCGGTCTGCAAGTGTGCCCGTTCCAAAATTGAAAGTCGACTCTTTCAGTTGTATCGCCAATTGCATATGCAGGAAATTTTCTGTGAAGATTCCTGCACGAACGCCTGTCGGGTATAATTCAACGCCCTCCGTGGTATTAGCCAGGGGAGTAGTTGTTTTCTGATAGGCGTCAGTCCATTCAACCTACTGTGTAGGTGTATTCCAAACTGACTTCAACATCTGAAGTTCATTTATTCAGATTTGTTTACTGCCTGTCTTCAAGCATAGACAACTGACTAATAAGAAAACAAAATAACATTACAAATAACGATGGTGTACATCACTCGATAGTATATAGCTTGTTGAAATAAATAGTTTATTAAAATCAATTTTTAACTATCAGATTCACCTGATTATCACAAAGGACCACGTCGTAAAGTTGATTTAGGACAATTAAGACACAGGTATCTAGGAGAGGCATCTATGTTAGAGATAAGGATGATATTGTATGTATATTCAGTTTAATCTTCCGCTTGAAGATGATCAACTGGTGATCGAAACACGTGTCGAGGTGTTGAAATAACGGTTTAGTTTGGGATAAAACTGTAGTAATATTCACCATAGAAATACATAAAAACATGCACAAATTCAATTTTGACTGAACCTTATTATTTTCATCGTTTTTTTCACACCACCATATAAGTGATACTACATCTTTTATATTTCAGAGTACCATTTGATATTAGACTAATACATACTGCTTTTGGGAAGTTTGATGTCGTTATATACTCATGGATGCTATTCATGTTGTTGACTTGCTTATGTTACTATTGTTTCAACATATGGGCTAATGTGAGATCCAAGTCATTCATGGAAGGTGGGTTTCCTTTTTAATTGATAACGACGAACTATCATTTTTCTATTCCAGCGGATGAATTGAGAATGTGGAATAATGTTTGGGCCATTATATTGGTAGGGTATTTCGTTGTTTCTTTCTGGCTATCATCATACATTGTTTCAACATATCAGCTTCCTCCAGCATCGGCATCCATTGTTCTACTAGAACAGGTAATATCACATCTCAAATTGAAGTACTATCTACTTTTCGTTGCCGACTATTGACTTTCATCACGTTTCAGGTACGACTTTCGATGAAAGTATATGCATTTATCAGAACAAGTGCAAAAACCGTTCTCCAGATTGATCCTCTACGAAAACAGAACGTGAATCGTGCAAAATTTTCGCAGTATTCTTTTTTCTTATTTGCACCTACTTTAGTGTTCAGTACGGATTATCCGAGGTGAGTATTCACATGCACCATCTACTTACACGACCGAAAATCAAAGGGACATTGAGTTGTTTGAGTTCGGTTCATATATGTCAGTATACTTCGAAATACTTGGAAGATGGGTTTTTTGATATCAAATATAATCTTTTCCATTGGTCTCTTGAAACACTCATTTATGGTATTGTCGATATTGTGTACTCTTGAAGTTGACGGCAGTCTCAAAGGCCAAAAAAAACAATACATAGAAATGAACCGGCAGCAAACTAGATCACGTAGACTGTAGCCTAGGCGGATCCTATTGGATAATTTTTACTTTCACTGAATTTAAAGTCATGTCACCGCGACGAATAGAAATCGGGAATGGGAAGATGGTTATCTCCGCCGTGTTCAGTTCAGGAACTGATCGCGATTTGAGTGTTGAAATTCGATATTGGTGAAGTTATAATTACTCAAAATGTTTGTCATCTGTTTGAAAAGTGGCGCTCTTAGACTAGTACTAATAATAATAACGAGTGTGATAACAACGCAGAATTTTCCAGTGTAGTGATTCCAATAGCGATGATGAACAATGCGAAAAAGAGATACCAGCGAATAAGATTCAGATAAATTTGTTATTGAAACACGGGGAGTATGTCTCAATGTACATAAGAATCTACAGGTCAAGTTTGATTTCAAGAAAACAAACTATTACCAGCAGTACCTAAAGTAGTCAAAAACGAACCCCATGAACGCAAGACGTGATGTAATACAGTATTACCAAAACCTCCAGATGTTCATCTAATGAAATCATTAAAAAAAGCAAAATATGAATGGAACGAAAGCAATGAATTTCCTACAACTGAAATCATCAGGAAGAAATTGGATATTTCCGGTTATAACGTGAACTGCTGTGACGAAATTCTTCAGAATTGAATAATGGAACTAAGATTCAGATTCAGAATAATAAACAAACGTCAATCAGTTATGGAAAGCAGAAGACTAGTGGAATTGCATAACAAATATTTAGAACAAATAACTAAATATAGACAAGAACAACGGCGAATTTTCTATTTGGAGAAAACTTGGTATGACACTTACGACATGGAAGGGTGGGCAGATGGTTCGAGAAAGTGTAGGCCTAACATGCCTGCAGACAAAGTATCGCGACTAATCATTGTGCATTGCGGAGGAAGTGAAGGATGGGTTCCGAATTCTTTGAAATTATGTGGAAAAAAACTTTAGAACTGCAATGTTGACTATCATAAGAACATGGAAGCTAATATTTTCGAGGAATGGTTTGAAAACACGTTGTTCCCTTATAAAAATAACTGGAAAAATC